ATCTGATGGTGGAGATGGAAACTAGGAATTTGAATGCATGAATTGATCCTCATCCGTTGGACGTGATGAACAGTCCATATTAAGCTTCTGGAAGGTGGAGGCTTGGAGAATAAGATGGGGCTGCTAGGGTTTTGTCATTGCAAGCAAATTACACTTATAACCTTAAACTATTCCTAAGATGAAAATAAGGAAAATTCATAATTAATTACAAAATCTTGTACAATCGCGTATAGGGATTTCTGCACGTGTTGTCTTCACTAAAATGATCATATCTTGAGTTAACGATATCGGGTTGATGCGATTCAAGAACCATTGGAAATCTAAGAGACAATCGATCAGATCTTCAGACATGTCAACCAAATAACATCAGGAACCCATTCAAAAAGCAGTCGCAAGTCTGCTGATCTATTATTCTTCTTTTTCAAGGCTTGATTGTGTGAGTCCATTCGAAGTGTTAGTCCATCTTCCTTTGATGTGAGCCTTGTGATGCATGTATCAGGAGAGCTCGGACCACCTTTTTGTTGTATGTGGCATAGCTAAATCCTTATGATCGAAAGTGTTCAATTGGTGGAGTATAAACTGGTTGGACATAAGCTCAATAAATGAGCTGTCCCCTTTGAAGAGTTGGTGGCTCATCGAAATAGCAGCAACACTTTAGATAACGTGGCTCTCAAGAAATGAATTGGTCTTTGATGGGAAATCTTTTTCAGTGGTTGATATGCTTCTTCTAGTGAAACTTCGCTCAATGTTTTGAATAAAAGCAGCTTCTGATGACGAGGAAGAATGGGATAACCATTGGTGGTCAAATCCGTTAACATGTAGTCCCGTCTCTAGGCAAGTTGAAATTGGTTCTAGAATCCGGTTTAAGTTCCACACAAGGCGTGGAAGTGGAATTGGACGCGCAAGTACTGCTATCATGGGTGATTAATTCGAGTTTAAGACCATAGTGTTTCTGTAATTTCTTCAAAGATTTCGATTGTCTTCTTAAAAAGCTGTTAAATGTTCATTTCAGTTTCGCGTCTCGGCAGCACAACAAGTTGGCAGATAGACTTGCAAAGGAAGGGAGAAGGAAAGAGGTTATGTTCAGAGGTTGGAGGTGATTTTAAAGAGCTAATTTTTTGAAAAAGATGGGCTCGTTAATTCATGTGTTGGAATTCATTTGGAGTCTGATATCCACGTTTTTTGTTGTAGCAAATTAAGGTTGGGTTCTGGTAGCTTCTGTATTATGGTCAGATTTCATCCTCGGCTTTCTGATGGGCATGCTTGGCAGTCGTAGCAGGTTTAGCACGGAGTTTTTCAATATAACATAGGTGATTTGAGTATGCTACGTGGGGTTTGCTAAGCACTCTAAAAGCTGGTATAACTTGCGAGTTGGCAAGTGGTTTTGTAAATTTTTTTTTCAGTCGTAATTGATGATGTGACGCATAGAGTCTGGTGTTTTTTGTTTGTTTGTTTTTTTTCCTTAGTACAAAGACAAGGGTCCTTTCGGGAAAAAAAACATAGTGTTTAAAAAAATTTCGTTACAAATATATATCTAATATTTATAACATTATACTTTTAAGCATTGTTTTCAGAACAGGACCGGTCGTGCTACCGGTTTACTGGTTTAATCGGTCGAACCGGTCAAACCGATCGGAAGAACCGGACGACGTTATATTAAATAAATAAAAATACCAAAAGCATTTAATAAAAAATAGTTTTTTATATCACAAGTCATATTCAAAGCAAGTCATAACATACATAAGTTAAAAACTATAAAATCAAGTGAAACAAAATTATTCAAATCAACTACAACATAATATTTAAGGTAAAACATATTAAATAATAAATATAATTATATAACTATAATCAAAAAATAAATTTGGGGCTTAAAAAATCATAACAAACAATGTCGTTTGGTTTAATTTTAAAAAAAATCTCACATGACTAAGAAACATAGAAGAGCATCACAAAAGTCTAAAGAGTAAAAATATGAAAACAAAACAATCTCACATGGCTAAGAAACATAAAAGAGCATCCCAACTGACTTCTATAAATAATAGAGGTAATTGGTATTCAAAATCATGGAGTCTTTTGGTGAGCACAGAGCAAATTATTCTTTCGCTTCAATCGAGCTCGAATTTCAGACTTCAATCGAGCTTCTAATTTTTTTTTTTTTTGAGTTCGAGCCTTTTTGAGTTCAAATTTCAATATTATATTTCGAGTTCGAGTTGAACTTGATAATTTTTAGCTCGTGAGTTTTTGAGTCGAGTTGAGCTTACTTTAAAGTTTTCGAGTTTGAGTCAAGTTCAGCAAAACTCGAGTTCAACTCAGCTCGTTTAACAAACGACGTCGTTTGATTTAATTTTTTTTAGAACAAGTTCTATCGTTTTTCAACTGGTTCACGGTCTGGTCCAGTTCGGTTCGAATGGTTCACTAGTAGCGGTTTCTTCCGGTTCACTAGTAGCGGTTTAACCGGTGTAGAATGAATCAGACCAGGCAGTGGTTCTCGGTTGAACCGATTGAACTGGTCGGTCCGGTCTGATTTTCAAAACACAGCTTTTAAGTGTTCAAGCATTAACTATCGTTGAAAATATCCATTAAATGATATGCGGTATTTTTTTGATAATTTTGAGAATTTATTTACAAAATATATTTTATTTAAAAAAACCCAAATAGTCTGTGCTCCCCTCCCTCTCTCCTCCCCTCTCCTCCTCCCTTTCCTTTTTCCCCTTACATAGTCGTCGATCAGTCGTGACTATCATCGTCACCATCATCAGCACCGACGTCGACCCCGATCAAATCCCTATTGGCCTTTTGTAGTAATCTGCCACCGTTTTTTGTGGAGAAGCATTCAAAGGTTCGTCAAATTTTAAACCACCGTCGTTGTTCTTTGTCGAGTCAAACCACTGTACAAATCCGAGCAAAACCCAAGTGGTCGTGTTCCTCGTCGTCGCTCCATTGTTGCTCCTCCGCCATTCTATTATGGGGATTAGGATTTTAAAGGATTGGAGATTTGGATATTGAGGATTTTAGAGATTTAGGGGATTTAGGTGACGGTAAATGCGACAATTGATCAATAGGTGGATGGTGACGAGTGGGTGATTGTTTCGGTGATGACAATGATGGTCGGAGATGACCAACGACAGTTGGTAATGGTAGTTAAAATAAGAGATTTCAGTGTTTTATAGTTTCTTTTATAATTTCAATAAAATTTGAGTTTTTTATAAATAAATTAAGTTCTTTTAATTATCTTTCTTTTTTAAAAATAAATATTTTTATTATAAAAAATAAAAAATATAACGGTAAACACCTAAAAGTGTAACTGAAAAAAACATTAGACATCTATTTTATAGAAAAAATTCTTTAGACACTATAACGTTTTCAGCGTGATAATTTTGGCACTTATTTTTGTATTAAGTTTTTTACTCTTTCATTTGCTGTTGTTGTCCGGGTATAATTTAGAGCTAATTTTCGTGTGGTGTTTCAGAAAAATTGTTTGTAACATTTTGGTTCTCGGCCAATCTTTCTAATAGCAATAAATTTAATTTTGCTGTGCTAAAAAAAAAAGCAGTTCAAGTATTACTATCACTGTCTATGAGTGACGATTGGTCTCTTCATTAGTTAATCATTAAAAATGCATTCTTAAATGAGGATCTTCAAGAAGATATGTACATGGATATACCTCCATGTTTAGACTGTTCATCATATGACTACAGAGTATGTAAACTGAAGTAACCATATGACCTGACCTAAAACAGTTTCCTCGTGCATGGTTTGACATGTTTACCAAAGTTTTAATTTATTACATGTCAGAACGATGATCAAGTTCATACGATTCTCGACTATCTATTTTTAGTAAAAATATAAATCCAAAAACTGAGATTATTTTTGAAAATTTGAAGTCGTCATCGACTATTTAGGGTTAGGTAGAGTTGAACACCTATGAAATCATCTTTTTAAAATAGAAGTTTTAACAATCTTTTTTTAAAAACAATTTTGAGATTCGCGTTTAACATGGATTTGAAAAGATTAATTCAGGAGTCAGTTATGTGTAAGAAATGATACACATCTCTATAACGCTTGAGATCAATACCTAATTGATTACATACTGTCAAAATATTAGAATTTGTAAATTTGAATATAAATTTAAAACATGATCCTATTGTTTATGCAATTTGAACTTCACAAAAATAGTGACTCTGAAAATGATTTGGTTCACTCATTTATTTTTAAAATGATATCCTTTTATTTCGATTAGAGCTAACATTCATAGGACCGAAATAGAATAAATATGAAATTAAAATGCTGAAAATAAATAATTAGTAACTATGAAACAAAATTAAAAGCAATAATGGAAAAAATATGAAAATAAATAATTAAAACATACATTACAATATAACTCAGTTATGTAGTTGCATTCAAACCAGAAATATGTTGAGGTTGAGCTTTTTCTTATTTTTCTTCCTTCTACAAGATTGACAATCATTTCTCGCTGTGGCCTTGGCTGCAGTTGCTGTACAAGCCTTCCTTTTATTTGCAACACTCTAAACAACAAATACGTTCAACACAATTTCATTTCCAACATAAATAACACAAGATGACTGCAAATATAAATAAATAGAAGACATAATGATATAACTCTCAATGTTTGTACAATTGTTTTTATAAGAATGGGAAGTCTCATTCAAAACCCCCCTTCATAACCATATAGATACTAAAAGTATCTCAAAGGACATTGGAAGGAGAAAAAGAATACCTCAATTTTTATTTAAAATACTGCACAAGTGTACAATGGGGAACAAGGAACCTAACAAGGGAAGGATTCCCACACAACTAATCCAAACTAGGAGCTGCATACAAAACAGAAAACCAGTAATCAACTAATGATTTTCATCCAACGTTGATAATTTTGATCAAAAATTAAAACATTTAGTTAAAATACTTCAAAGAAAGAAAATCAAAATGGCTATTTAAACGTACCTGACCTAATTTTCGTAAATAGAAATCATATCTTCAAGATTACGATATTAGATTACTGTACATCTGGCATCATGGGGTATCTGGCTCTTTTGTGGCCTTCCTTGTGGCAAAAGCTACAGCTTAATATGCTTTCAACCCTAGACATTGTCATCTTCTTTGCACCCTCGAAACCATTTCTCCTCTTTTTCTTTGGCATCTCATTGTAAGTGGTAGACAAGCATGAATGTTGAGGGAAATATGTCTTAACCCGGAATGAATCATCGTTGCTCTGCCTCGAGGCTAATATCACCCAACCACAATCATTAGCAGCATATGCAGCTCTCACTCGAACTTGTTCAATCTTTCTGTACCGATGAATAATCCTTAAGAGTCATCTTAAACTGTGCAGCACCTCTGAATATTTGGCCAACATAGAAACCTTTATCACCAACTGCAGGACCTCGAGACGGGAACCTTCAGCATCATCGATATCTGATCCATCAGATATGGTTATATGACTACCTGCAACGATGGATATATGATTTTATGCTAGAGAGGCCAAACTTATAAAATTTAAAGGACTAAACTTTTAAAATTTTAAACGAAAAAACAGATTATTAATAGAAAATATAAAGACAAAATCTCCCCTCCCCTTAGTTTATCCCTGACAATCTCGATCAGCAGGATCAATAAAGAAAGCTTTTGGTGATGGAATGTCACTAGATTTCTCATTCCCATCACAGACGTGGTCAACATAAACAGAAATTTCACCAAATTTGTTTAAATGGTTTGACAACTGGAGCACACTTTTGTCGTCAAACAACAACTTCAAGCCATCCCTTAAACTCTTCCCCGGTTCCAAAAAATATAGCTGCTTAACCTCGTCGAAACCATACTCGAGTTGATGAACCATTGACAACAAACTCCAATAACATATCTCTTCCACATCATAATGCTCCATAAGTTCTAGTTTCTCATTCATATACGATGATTTTGGGTTCCCCTTGAAGGTTCCACCATGATGAAATCTTATTTTAACTTTTTTCTTACGACCTAAAACATTTCAAATAACACTTATTTCAGAAAATATATACAGTGCAGATTGTATAACAACATTATACTATCCATAAAGTACCCCAACACATTTCATATAACCGAGGTCACTAATGCCTAATGGTATCCATAAAATCTTCATAAAGCATATAAAACTTCAAATAACAATTCATACCAAACCTAACCAAATAGTTTAATATAACACATCAAATAATGCTTTAAAATCCTTTAAACCCAAACTTTTTAAGGGTGTATTTTGCATTATATTTAAAATTTGTTTTTCAAATCAATCGTCCTTTGAATCGGAACAGTTTGAGAATCGTGATTATCCCAAGATAATGAACACAGCATGGATTTAAACAGCAGTTTGTTATTAGAATAGCGGCTCTTATATAACGGTAAAGGTATCCAACAACATGCAGTGATCATATTATAAACTAAGAAAAAACCAACGCCGTTGACCTTCAAAAGCAAATAATATGGCAGATATCCGAATCCTAGGTGGACAATGGTCGAGCAAAAGAATTACGAAAAATAACGAAACCAAAAATTACCGGTGGTCATTCTTCGAATCGCTTCAGTAAAAACTGCGAAATCGTAGACTGGATGATTTGATGAAATCAAATCTCAGTGGGTTTAGGTTTAGGGTGTTTTCAATTTATCTTTAAGGTAAAAAAACATTTGGCATGGGATAATCAAAGGGTGAGTACATGAAAAGGAACTGCTTCTGCTTGAGGTGTTTTAAGGTCGAGTCAACTATATTTATGTTTGATATTAATATATTTTATATTTATATAAATATGATTTAAATTTTATCTGAATTTATTCATATTTATAAATAAAATCAAATTTAAAATAATTCAGGATTTTATTTAAAAAATATATATAGTTTTATTTCAGTATAATTTTATGATTATTTATGTAATTTGTCCATTTTAATTTTATTGAAGTTTTTATACATAAATATTTTAATATATTTCTAATACTTATATTATAAATATTATGTCATTATTAAGCGGTTGTATCTGCAAGTTGTGTACATTATTAACAATTTAGAAAAATTATGAACTGATTAAAGTGCTCATTATTGTTTTATCAGGAATGCATTTAAATTCCCTCTTCCTAATTCATTGACCACCCTAATTAGTGGCAGAACCAAATTTAAGAATAAGGTCCAAAATTTTAATTTTCTTTACAAATAATGGGAATGCAAAAAAAATATTTTTTTGTATTTTTTCATTAACACATTAAACTAAATTTAATCATTTTTTCAAAATAATTGTTAGGAATTATGAAGCTCAAATTGAACAACCGAAAATATTGTCAAGAGGAGGTGAATTGACTTTTTTAGAATTTTAGGGATTAAGGAGAATTAAAGGGATAGAAAATTGTTGCATAAGGATTTATAGTGGTTCGACTTTCTCAACCAAAGTCTACATCTACTACCTAAGTTGTTCACTTTAGATTTTCTAACAAATTCACTAATTTGTTCTTTCTTTTTCAATGACAAAGAGATAACATTTACAAACTCCTCAACTTTTCAAAGGTTTAGCTAAAACCAAAACCCTTTTACTAAAGGTAAAAAGAAGTAAACAATAAAACCTCTAAAGCTCACAAGAACAAATATTTACAAGAGAATAGAAATAAAGACTGAAAAGCTCTTCTATTGTGTTTGATTGTTTGGATATGTATTCTAACCATTCTTCAAGTGTCTTGAACTTGTATTTATAAGTTGGAATAAGGTTGTGACCGTTTCTAGCCGTTGGGAGTGATTTGGATCCGTTGGGGATGTTTTTTCTGCAAAATAAAAATGCCCAGGACATAAGGTATCGGTACTCCTATAGGGAGTATCGGTACTACCTTTGTAATATTTAAATAAAACTAGTCTTTGGGCCTGACGGTATCGATACTATACTTCATGGTATCGATACTACTATGTAAAGTAGTATCGGTACCCCATTGGGTATCGATACCTATTTTACATTCTGGAATTTGAGCAAGCTGGTAGTATCCGTACTACCTTGAAAGTATCAATACTTCTCTTACCTAGGGTATCGGTACCACATGAACAGTATCGATATTTTTCATATAGTATCAATACTATAAGAACAGTATCGATACTTCATACGTGAAAATCAGTTTTATGCTCAAATCCACTTTAAATGGACTTTTAATTATTTTTGAAAAGTTTGAACAAATTCAATTAAGTCCAAAAACATTTTGCTTTAATTTGTTATATAAAAATACTATAAAACATGTTTCAACAATCTCCACCTTTTTTATATAACAAAACATTTAAAAATTATTTTTGGCAAAACTCCCCCTTAATAAAACATTTAATGAAAAAGTGACATATTTTGGAAAATGTTTAAAGCTCCCCTTTTTCATTGAGAAATTGAATTTTTCAAACGCATGCATCTACTCCTTTTTGTTATATAAAAAATAATTCAACTTTAAAGTTAAAAAAAAATAACAATGGAGAGTAAGCGATAAATTTAACATTAAAATCTTTTTGAAAAATCAAAAGCTCCCCCTTAATAAATGCATTCTAGACAAAATTTTGAATTTAAAAAGCTTGACACTTAAAAAAATTGAATTTCAACAAAGATGAACAAACATGTTAGAAGCATATGAAATTCAAAATATCCAAGTCTAATATACTTTGTGCAATACCAATTGTTGAAATTAAGTGCATGTGCATAAAGCTATCCAAAAATGTTATGCATTTGAAAATTTTGATATCAATTGTTAGAGAGATATTTTTTTGCATTTTAAATCACATGCATAAAAATTTAAATTTAGGTCAAAAATTAAAATTTGACAAATCAAAGCATTTGAAAATTTTGATATCAATTGTTAGTGAGATATCATTTGCATTTAAAACCAATTTTGATTAAAATTCATTATTATGAACTAAAAATTATAAAAAATCATTAAGGCTTTAAGGTGTTCATCATAACACCTTTTAAACATGAGATGGAAAACATAAAATGATTTTAAAATTCAAAAACTCATGCATGCTTAAATCAAATGAGCAACCAATTAATGAAAGCAAAAACATTAAGCTTAGAGGTTACCCTTTCCTTTTCAAGTGTGTCTAGAGCATTTTAGTATCTCCGCTTTCATCACCATTGCTCCCACACACCTACAAGAGACATTTAAGTAGATTTTGGTATCCAAATTGCTTTGGATCCTTTAACATTAGTTTCAATGACCCTTGTTCCCTTATGAACCCATATTTGTCTAGTTTTAAAGGGTTTTCTTTTCTTTATAGGACAAGCATGTTTCATATGACCATGAAAATGGCAATGTGAGCATTTTGCCATTTTTAAACATAATGAGTTGTTTTTAAAAATTAATTTTTTTTCTTTTATTAAGCTCTCAAGCTTAACTTTCAAATCAAAATTTTCTTTTTCTAAATCATTGATTTTGACTTTTGAAAGCTCTAAATCATTTTTCAAATATTCATTTTATTTTTTAAATATTCATTTTGTTTTTCAAAATCAACTTTTGCTTTCAAAATCAAATCATTTTCAACTTTAAGTTTTGAAATTAATTTCTTATATTTGGAATTCATGGTCTCAAATTCCAAATACAACTCATCATAGGCAACTTGTAACTCATCAAACGAATAAGAATTTAATTCACTAGAGTTCGAAGTTACCATTGAATCTTCTTCGGTGGCCATGAGGCATAGGTTGACTACTTCATCTTCATCATTGGAGTTATCTTCATCACTCCAGGTAGCCACAAATGCCTTATTCTTACTATATCCCTTCTTTTTTAGGATAGGACAATCATACTTGACATGTCCCGTTCTTTGAGAATTGAAGCACATCGGGAGACTCTTCTTTTTAATCGATTCATGCTTCACTTCCTTAGAAGTCGTGAATCTCTTGAACCTTTTGAAGAGCTTGGCCATCTTTTCTTCTCCTTCATCATCTTCATCCACCTCTTTATTTGTATCTTGATTACTTTCATTGGTGGATTTAAAGGCAATGTCTACCTCCTTTTTGTTCTTTTTTTCTTCATCATCTTTTTCTTCCTTTACCATCAACTCATGAGTGAGAAGAGAACCAATAAGCTCATCAAGAGTGAGTGACTTGAGGTTTATAGCTTCAATAATCATCATCTTCTTCGATTGCCAAGACTTTGGAAGAGAGTAGGTCATCTTCCTCATAAGTTTCTCATTAGGGATCACTTCTTCAAATCTCTTGAGACCATTGACAATCATGGAAAATTTATCCCTCATAGCTTTGATGTGTTCATTAGGTTTCATCTTAAAATTCTCATAGTTATGGTTGAGAAGACTGATTTTGGTTTCCCTCACTTTGTTGGTTCCTTCATGAGTAACTTGGAGCTTGTCCCAAATCTTCTTGGCATTAGAATAAGAGGAGACTCTTCCATATTCATCCGAGCCTAATGCACAGAAGAGGATATGCATAGCCTTTGCATTAAGTTGAAACTTCTTCTTCTCTCCATCACTCCAATCATTCATCTCACCTGTTGGAATAGAGTATCCTTTAACGATTGAGTTTCAAGCTCCTAGATCATTGGCTTGAATGAATAGCATCATCTTATTCTTCCAATAGGCATAGTTTGCTCCATTAAAATAAGGTGGCTTGTTGACCAGTTAAGAGTCTTCAATGTAGTAAGAGCCAGAGGTCGAAGTCATTTTCTTGTGGGTTGTTTTTGGAAATCGGTAGAGCTTCTTCAAGGATCGTCTCAAGGATATGAAGCCTTCCAAAGAGTTAAGCTCTAATACTAATTGTTAGGATTTATGAAGCTCAAATCAAACAACCGAAAATATTACCAAAAAGAGGTGAATTGGCTTTTTGAAAATTTTTGGGAGTAAGGAGAATTAAACGGATAGAAAATTGTTGCACAAGGATTTATAGTGGTTTGAATTTCTCAACCAAAGTCTACATCCACTACCTAAACTCCTTAGGATTTTTTAACAAATTCTCTAATTTTTTATTTCTTTTTAAAGGAAAAAGAGATAAACTTTACAAGCTCCCTAGCTTTTCAAAGGCTTAGCTAGAACCAAAACCCCTTTACAAAAGGTAAAAAAATAAGTAAACAATAAAACCTCTATAAGGTAGGGTGTTTACAAATTAAAGCTTACAAGAACAAAATATTTACAAGAGAATAGAAATAAAGAGTGAAATTCTCTTCTCTTGTGTTTGTTTGCTTGGATATGTGTTCTAACCCTTCTTCAAGTTCTTGAACTTGTATTTATAAGTTTGAATAAGGTTGTGGCCATTTCTAGTCATTGCGAGTGATTTGGAGCCGTTGGGGATGTTTTCTCTGCAAAATAAAACTACACAAGACAGAGGGTATCGGTACTCCTATAGCGAGTATCGGTATTACCTTTGTAATATTTAAATAAAACTAGTCGTTGGGCCTGACGGTATCGATATTATACTTCATGATATCGACACTACTATGTAAAAGTAGTATCGGTACCCCTTTGGGTATCGGTACCTATTTTTCATTCTGGAATTTTAGCAAGCTGGTAGTATCGGTATTACCTTGAGAGTATTGATACTTCTATTAGCTAGGGTATCAGTACCACAAGAACATTATCGGTATTGTTCATATAGTATCGATACTATAAGAACAGTATCAATACTTCATACGTGAAATCAGTTTTATGCTCAAATTCAATTTAAATGAACTTTGAATTATTTTTGAAAACTTTTAAC